ACTAAAATTCTGTTGTGCACAAGATCAACAATATGCTACAAACAACATGACAAAGGCTGACATGCATAAAAGGGCTTGGACCCCGGTCATAACTGCTTTGCAGTTCTAGTTTATTTTGTATTTCTGTTGTCAGAAATTCAAAACGAATGAAAAATCTCTGAACAAAGGTAGTCTAAATGTTAAGTAAGTCTAAATGTAAGTGCTGATATTTCATTATTCATGTTTTGTCTTATAAGTAACGTGATGGCGTTTACAATTAAACATTGTTTAATATATTTCTTGGTTTGTGTTTGTGTTGTTTTCTTTAGCCCAGAAAAGGAAGCCACATCTGGAAGATGCACGTGGTTAAAGGTCAGGGGGGTCTTGGCATCCAAATTACAGGGGGGCGTGACTCCAAGAGGTCTCCTCATGGAATCATTATTGCTCATATAGAGCAGCAGGGTGCTATTCACAGGTACGTTTTGTAGCTGTAACACAATGTTCACTTTTAATTTAAAAAATGATGTCTTAAAAATATGCATTGTGCATTGTATATTCAGGCATATTAATATGAGCTTCATTCCAAGTTGGGATGTTGTTATTAGCATATTGTTAAAAGCCTGCCTCTCTGATTGTATGATGGTGCATTATGGGCCTTTTCCATTAGTGCCTCCTCAGCACGGTTCGACTTGGCTCAGCACGGTTCCAAGCCTTTTCCATTTTTCCAGATTCATGGAACCGACCCCCATTCTTGGACCGACTCCATCGAGGTTCTAACCGTAACGTGCTAACCTGAAAATGCGAGGTCAGAACACTGTTGGTCACTGATTGGTTCAGGGGTGGAGTCACTAGTTGCTTCCGAGCTACGCTCACAACAGTAACTCGAGACGCCATTTTTTCTTTGCAATCTTTGGAGCAACATTTGAAACTCGAGAATGGCAGCACAGAAACCCACACCGTGGTCAAATGCTGAGGTGCAGGAGTTTTTGAGCTTGGTCAGAGCAAGCTAGATGGATCGACTTGCAACGAAAAAGTTTTAAAAGAGGTCTCGGAGCTGATGGTTGCTCGTGACAGTTCAATCTCTTAAGTGGGTTGTGCAGCTAAAGTCCATAACCTACTGTAGTCCATTTTACCCCCACAAATGAAATCCTTCATTAACCATGTTCTGCAACTAGAAACCATGTTCACAAAGTAACTATCACACTGTGTCCTACATTTTCCACATACTGCAAATCACTAATTTACAAATCTACCATAAATGAGAAAGCAAGCTTCTTCCATCTCTGAATGCTGTCTCAAGGTAAAACACAGATGTTCTTGTGAGCTCTAGGCTTGATTAGTGTAATCCCTCACACATCAGTAGTAATCAGTTCGCTATCTCTTGTTCACAACTTGTACAAAACCCTGCTGCTCGTTTATTAACTACCATCAAACCTGTCTTTCATCTTTAAGCTGTTATTTGTTTTCAAAGTTCCTGTGGCTTCACACCACCCTACGTTTTAGATCTTCCTCTAACCTCACTGTGTTCAAAGCTAACATTAAGACCTATTTATTTATGAAGGCTTTTGTCGTTTGACTTCTAGCATTTTATAACATTTTTTCCTTATTTTATTGAAGTCCTGCTTTTAACTCACACTCATATACCGTATTTTGACGTGTTGCCTTAGCTTTGTCGACTGAAGCACTTTTGTTAGTGCAGGTTATTTTTTGGACGGAACAATATACCTAAATTTTGTTGTTATTATTATTATAATCATTACCTGTGACTGTTTCAATATTTCTCAGTTTAAGGACAATCAGATAATGTAACCCTTTGACATAACCACCTGAAGTTTTAGTTGTCATTTTTCAATCAACATCGCTGACTTCATTATTAGCGGCACTGAATAAATTCTTTATTCATATCAATAATTATGCTCTTTGTGTGCATATGGCTTTATTTAAGAGTTTGGAATATTAAAACCCAAAATCATAATGCTATAAATACTCTAACGCCCCTGCTTTTAGCACCAGACAGTTTAAGTTTAAAGCTAAGCTTATAAAAATTAAAAATGTAATATATCTGTTTTAATCCTGGCACTATGAGATCTATGCATTTATCTTCAAATATTATCATTAATAAAAAATAGTCAGTGTCCCAATCAAGGTTATAATAGTTTTGGATTTTTCATTATAGTCTAATTTAAGTTAGTCATGACTTATTTTTCTTTTAATTCAGTTGGTTTTTATCAGTTTTTACAGTGGACTTGAATTTTTATAAATTTGTATTTATTTCACTTAACTAAAATGTTTTTGAAATTTTCATCCTTCTGTTAGTTTTAGTTAACTATAATAACCCTGGTCCCGATCTGTACAGGGTAAACACCACCACCCACCGAATCTGTTATTTCATACATAAAGACTTAAATGCACCTCTATTTATTTCCTTACTTCTGTATCCCTGATCTTTTATCAGGTGTCCCGGAACTCTCACCAGCGTCTTATTCTACCAATTAGTCTACAAATCTCACATCCAGCCCCAGGCAGCACCAGCCCACGTGCAAAACAGACAGCAGCTCAACCATGCACAGATCCTTCAAGTCAGTTTTAATGCACACCTCACTAGACAGTATTCCCC